ATCAACTTTACTTACTATCAAATTTTTTTTTGTCAGTACGTTTTTGTATTAATTGTGTATCAATTTAAAGCTACAATATAAAACTTTCAAAACAACAAAATACAACATTAAACAACAAAAAGTTAAATTACAATATTAATCACAATTTCCATAACAAAACAATCTAACAAACAAAAATAACATGTATTGTACAAATAAACAATAAATATTTAACATAAAATATATTGTAACAAAAAGAACATGTATTGTACAAGCAAACAAGCAACATTTTACAAAAAGAAAATGTATTGTAATTTTCAACAGAAAAAGATAGCAAAAAGTTAGCATCTAACAAAAAAGATCAAATTAAAATAATCAAACTAGAATCGAACTAAAAAACTAAAATTAAGGGGCTGTTTACCAAACACTTACCCGGTAAGCGTTTACCGGTAAAATTTAACACTACCACATACTTATCGGGTAAGATTTTAGTTCACCAAAACGGCATCGTAGACAACAATTTACAGAGTAAGTGTTTACCATGGTAAGAGTCGTCGCCCTTACTTACCGGGTAAGACTCTCGGTCCTTGTCTCCCTCTTACCAGGTAATATTTTTGGTCCTTACTATATTCATCCGGAAAGGAAATGTGACTTGGTCAGCGCTTACCCGGATAAACGTTTGGTAAACGGCCCATAACATTGTGGTCTCGAGTCTTTTTTATGAAGGAAGGGAAGAGAAAGGGAAGGAAAGCAGGAGTGAAAGAAAATATATTGTGTTCTTTGAGTTTTCTTAAGAAGAGAAAGAAAAGAAAAAGAAAGAAAAATAATATTGATTTTTCTCTCAAATATGGGAGGAAAGGGAAGTAAGGGAAAATAAAGAATCTAGAACAATTAAAAGTATTTATAAAATTACAAATCTACCCATCAATTATATTTTACTATAAAATAAATAAGAGTATAGGCTAAAGATCGCGTGAGAAAGAATGTTAAGGTGAGAAGCGTAAGAATGGATCTAGACCATTGATCACATTTAATCTCAAACTCATCCATGAATAACGTTTGTTACAGTGGATTGATCTGGTGCATCTCACTTTAATTGCATCCAAACATTTCTTATATTTTTAATGTTAACTCTCATTCTCATCGATCTTAAAAAAGTTAAAAGATTTATTTATTCAATAAAAATGTTCAAAAACTATATCTCTCATGGTTAAAAAGTCTTAGGTGTCGTTTATCAAATACTTACTCGGGTAAACGCTTACCAAGTCACTTTACTTTACCGGATGAATATAGTAAGGGCTAATAATCTTACCCGGTGAGAGCGAAGACAAAAATCGAGAGTCTTATCTGGTAAGTGAGAATGAGGACTTTTACCATGGTTAGAGCTTACCGGAATAATTTGTTGCATACGATGCATTTAAGTGAATAAAATCTTACCCTGTAAGTAAGCGATAATGTTGAATTTTACCAATAAATACTTACCGGGTAAGTGTTTAGGTAAACGTCCCCTTACAAATGTTTTCAGACTTTCCTAAACTTTAAATAATTTTTACCACCAAAACAAATTACCAGTCATTTTTGTAAATTAAAATCATTTATTTAATTAATTCTAAAAAATTCAGCAATATACTTAGGAGCCGTTTACCTAAATGTTTACCCGGTAAGTGCTTACCATTAAGAGTTAATACTATAATTTATTTTATCGGGTAACATTGTGGTACATCAAAACATATTTTATGCAACAATTTACCTGGTAAACGCTTATCCGGGTAAGAGTCGTCACGTTCACTTACCGGGTAAGACTTTTCATTCTTATCAGATAAGATTATTACCCCTTACCATGTTCATCCGGTAAGAAAAATTGTCCAATAAAAACTTATCGAATAAACGTGTATTAAACGACCCTTTACTCAAAAAATATTGTCCTTAAATTAATCACTCGATACCCATTGGATTTTTAGTTTTCCCTTTAAATATTTAAAATTAAATAATTGAATAAAAATCATGATATACATACTTGTTTGTGTTCTAGTTGGTTTGACTTTTCAAGGGGGAGGGCAGAGCGGTGGAGGTACATACATACATGATATATCTATCACACAAAGTCGTCGACAACTATACGTTTTGCCTTCATGGCTTCATGTGCTTTGTTTAAATTTTGAGTAGATTGCGGATTTCATCCCTCTGGTTATATGAAAATTATAAATTAGGTCCCTCAAACAAATTAAATACATTTATGATCATCGTGGTTTTACTTTCGTTACGTATTAGGTTCCTTCTCTTCTTAACTTCGTTAACCTAAACTATGTTAAGTTAAGGGTGTTTTGGTCATTTGATTTTTCACTTATTTTTCTTTTAAAATAATTTATGATTTATAATATATAATATTTTTATAGATACACATAGCGGAAACCTCTCATCGGCCTTCCCATTTCCGGCCACCTCCCCCTGTTGTCCTTGACCGTCTCCGACAACCCCCCCAATCTCCGGCCTAAACCACAAACTATCGTCTCAAAGCGTCCCCCCGCAGCGGCTCCCTCCCTACTCCCTCTTCTTCAACCACCAGAACCTGCACGACTACACCAGCATGAGTCTTTCCCACTATTTCACCTTCCACCACCATAAATCTAAGGCCCCCTCAACACAACCTTCACCACCATAAATCTACGATCCCTCACATGTATAATTGATGTCAAGCGACTGGTACTTCCATAGAACTAATATGACTCAACTCAAGTAATGGAATTCCAATCAGATGAAGCAATAATAATGAGATGAAAGATTCCACGAGAATTGTTTCATGAATCTGCTTCATATATCAAAATATTCGGAATATACAAGTTTATCCAAAAAGTATAAAACTCACATAAATCAAAAACCAAATTCTAAGTAAAAATTTCTGAACAAGATAAAAAAAACCTAGAAGACAATGTCTTCCAGATCTGTAACAAAAAAATTGATCAAACCCCATCTGTTGAACTTCATTTGTTTAAGCCCTTTATCAAACAAAACCCCTTTTCATACTCTTTTTTTTTTTGTTCTTGAGGTCTACTCCTCTTTCTTGTGAGAGTTCTCCTGAAGAAGATGATATTATCTTCAAACTTCCATCATCAATTTACAAGATTTCAAACCCTTTCACACCAGGGTTTTCTATTGTAAATCCATTCTTTGACTTTGACCACTCAATGGAAGAATCAGAAGATGGTCATGTGCTGATGAGTTGCTGGTAACTTCAAGCAATTGGAAAGAGTTCAAGCAACGTCCATGAACCTACTTGGCTTCTATGATAAAACTGTTAGAACCACTGTTATCGCACCGGAATTTTCCCTAATTTGTGTGTATGTTTGTGTGCAATTCATGTACAACGAAATGACTAAAGTCAAGAAAATCAACGAAACATGTATGTGTATATATGTTTATATAACATATTCTTATCAAGTAAGGTAAGAAAACTTACTTGGAATCAACGATTGAATGATAAACAGTTAAAGGCCTGCTACGTAGTGTCCTTAAACAAAATTTCACCCCTACTCGTGTGTAGTCTGAGCTTCCGTTCAGAGGATACAACTATCTAATTCGCGTTCTTGCACGAGAACGTGAATCTGTCGAGATTCCTATGTGTTCATGGATCGTATTGTTTTTCTTTTTGTCGAATTTGGAGGGAAAACCAAGACTATATATACTTTTGGCAGATAACCAAAAATCACCACGAACAGACACAGTCTTAATGATTAAGAGACCCAAGGCCATATCTTTGACCATTAATGTAATATTATGCCAAGTACCAAGCTCAATCCTTGTGTTAGAAGGGCTTAGTCCAATTTGATATGACTTATGGAGCTAGCCTTATAAGCCTCTCCAAATTTCTCTCTATTTCCTATGTGGGATCAATTCCCATGGTAAAATCCTAAACTTTCGAAAATTTGACTTCACACTTGAAATCCACGATCGATTTTGGTGCTTTCGATTAAAAATATTATGTCCTCTATATCGAAAGAACCGAAACCCACAAAAAAAAAAAAAAAAGCTCTCTCCGACCACTCCCCTAAACGAGATAATGAGTGGTGGGAGTTGAACGATGAAGGCATCCTTGAATATAATAATTACAATTATAAAAAAATAAAAAATAAAACTGTAAAAAGACAATATTAACCCTGATTTAACATAACACCGGTTAGTAGGGTTAACACAAAGAACCTAATTCATAACAAAAATGAAACCATGATGACCTTATATATATTATTTTGTTTAGAGGACCCAATTCAAAAAATTTAATAACCATGGGGACAAATTTGTAATTTACTCTTAAATTTTTTTCATTTTTATCTTTCTAGTTTATAATTTTATTATTCTCTTTATCTCAAAAAAAAGGCATCCACAAACAAAAAAGGACAGATTTAAAAAAATGTAATTATTATAGTTCTGAGAATTAAATGACAATTTCATCTTTAATAATAGAGGTTTATTTCTCTCACAACTAAAGGTAAAATGAGAAAATATATTCTTATTCTTTAATTAAAGTAGACATTTATTTTGGGCGATATTAAAATAGAAACGTGAAAACTTATGGACCGTTTACCAAACGCTTACATGGGTAGACGTTTGCCAAGTCACATTAGCTTACCGGATGAATATGGTAAGGACCAAGAGTCTTACCCGGTAAGCAACGCAAGGAATAAGAATTTTACCCGGTAAGTGAGACCGACGACTCTTACCATGATAAATATTTACCGGGTAATTTGTTGCATACGATGCCTTTTTGATGAACTAAAATTTTATCCGGTAGGTAAGTGAGAGTATTGAATTTTTACCGTTAAACGTTTATCGGGTAAGTGTTTGGTAAATGACCCCTTATATTAAGACGGAGGGAATATTATTAGTCCCTATAATTCATTGTTGTTTTCATTCTCGTGGTTTAACAAACCATAAGGACGAAAACGTAGTTTACTCTTTTGTTTTTCTCTAATTTGGAAACTTTTAGCCTTATTTATAGCCTATGATTCGATGGCAACTTGCCAAATATGGAAGGCTTCAACCACTTTAGCCACCCTCATAAACTCTCATTCCACAAAAGCCTCGAAGCTGCACAACTTGTTTGTACCGGCTGCAAATTTACTTGTACCGGCACCCCGGTTTACTCGTGTCGCCCGTGCAAGTTCTTCCTTCACGAGCAATGCTTCGATGCACCCCGATCCATGACCCACCCGGCTCACCCGCCTCACCCGCTCTCATTATTCCCTTCTCCAACGTACTCCTCCGGCTCGTTCATTTGTAGCTCGTGTGATCAGATCGGTTCGGGTCTTTGTTTCTGTTGCTCCATTTGTGAATTCGATCTCCACATCCATTGTGCTTATAATGACCCAAACCTTAAAATGGGCTCGACCGCTCCACTGAAACAGATCCAACTGAAATCGCACCCGAACCACCTGGTTCACCATGTTCCTAAGCCACCTTACCCTAGCGGTCAATGTTCATGTGACGTGTGCGGTACTGACTGCGACCTGGATTGTCCATTGTACCATTGCGATGTCTGCGGCTACGATGTGCACTTGGAATGCACAGATTTGGCGGAAACGGTCCAGCGGGAAGATCACGAGCACACGGTTTCATTACTTCATGTGAATCCATTCCAGGCGTTTGAATGTGATGTTTGTAGAGGCGGGATCGCGCAAAACCATTGTATGTATTATTGTTCGTCGGGTTGCGATTACGGGATGCACGTTAAGTGCGTTGCCGCAAAGGTGTCGGTGAAACCCCCGATGGACGAAATGGCGTTTCAGGTCGAGATGTTCAAACTACAGAATAAGATGAAATTGCACCAAATGGCGATGGATACCAAGATGATGGCCACAAGCGGATTCTATCGTAATCGTTACTATCGTTACTAACAGCAGTGCGTGCAAACGGTTTCACGACTGGTGTTGAATATTGATGTTGTTCTGTTAAGCTTGTTTTAATTTACTTGTGTTGTTTTACATGACGAATCATCGTGTAAGATTAGGAGTTAAAAGTGAAAATCATAAGAAAAGATTTGGACATTTAATCACTTTTAATCCCATCCTCACCTCATCATCAGAATTGATCTGATGCATATTATTAGTGTTGATCATAAATTATGATTGATCCAACTGTGGATATCTTTTCTTATTTTTTTTATCACTCAAAATTTATTTAAGTTTTTATATTTTGCTTTAAATATTTAATATTAAATATTTAAAATCAAAACCATGATACAAGAAGCTTTTCTGTGTTCGGTTGGTTTGACTTTTAAAGTCGTCGTCAACTATCGAAATTCCAGAGCATCTTCGCGAGTAAACTACGCTTTACGTCCATGTTATTTGTTGACCAATTCTCAGTTTATATTTATTGCCCTCATTGTTCCAAAAGTCAATCTCCACAATAAAAAAAATATACATATATTTTTCTTAAATAATTAAATAACACGTAGGACGTGTTTACCCAAATGCTTACCCGATAGGTGTTTATCTATAGAAGAACACTATAATTTATTTTGATGCGTAAGATTTTAATACATCAAAACATATTAAATGCAACACAATTTATCGGGTAAGCGCTTACCCGGGTAAGGGGCCGTTTACTAAACACTTACTTGGTAAGTGCTTACCGGATAAATTTCCTTATCGGATGAACATGAGAAATGCCAAAAATCTTACCGGCTAAGAGTAATGAAAATGATAGAGAATCTTACCCGGTAAGTAAGGATACGACTCTTACCCAAGTAAGCACTTACCTAGTAACTTGTTGCATTCGATATGTTTTTTTGTACTAAAATTTTACATATCAAAATAAATTATAATGTTGAATCCTATCGGTAAGCACTTACCGGGTAAGCATTTAGGTAAACGGCCCCTAAGTGTTGTAATCTTCACTTACTGGGTAAGACTCTCCATCATTCTCATCATTCCTACCTGGTAAGCACTTATCAAGTAAGCGTTTAGTAAACGGCCCCTTTTAGTAATACATAAATATTTTTCATCTCGGAATTAAGGATGAAATGAAAAAAATGAACACTTATTTAGAAAGAAACTAAAAAGGAACACGAATATCTAATTTGGGAGAGATAGAGAATTATTTTCGTTCTTATATATAATTTGCAACTTGTAGTTTTCGTTCTGTAATTTATAATTTACTATTGATTTAGTCCTTGTACTAAGGTGGTGCAAAACTCAAATGGTTCGAAAACGCAAAAAGAACCCAAAACGAAAATGAGATGTTTGTGTAAAAGTTGAATGTCCTGAAATCTGGAAATTTGAAACCGGATTTTGGGGGGGATATTTGTGTTCGAGTTGGGTTTGGTTTTTGGCCATCCGATCCATCCGAAAATCCAATGATTCACACACACACACACACACACACATATATATATATATATATATATATGTATGTATATAAGGTTGGGTTTCGATGAGAAACAGAATTAAGGTAAGAAACTAAGAAGGGATCTCCACCCTTGGATGAGATACACCGAGATGCATCAGATTAATCCCTATATTTAAAAAGATTCATGGATAAGTTTAAGATTAAAAATAATCAAAAGTTCAGATTTCTTCTTATACTTGTCTTCTTACTATCTTTCTCCCACGGGTCTTTAATTTTTAGATATTATATAAATATATTTATTTATCGAATTATCCTTTTAAAATCCAAACTCCTAATCCGCCATACTTTTTTCCAAATACTAAATCTATTATCGATTTTATCACTCCTCCTAATTCATTAAATTTATCCTTAAAATCAATTGAACATATTTTTTTTGCATATAAATATATCAAAACCCGACCAACACTTACTCAAAGTAATCCAAAATCCGTAACCCAAAATTTGGGGATTGATTTTTATACTTGAATCCGATCAAATTTTTGGTTTGTCCATCCGAATCTATTCGACACGTTTCATATAGACATTGTTCCTTCGATCCACATGTTGTTTTAATCATTATAATTTACAATTTATTGTTGTTTTCGTCCTTAAAACCACCCTTTAACGGTCGAGATTTAACGTTGTAATATAAGAAAAACACAAAAACAGAACTCGCAATTTCTATCAAACATTAAGTATTTTTTTTTTTTTGTCTGATTTGGGAGACTTTTAGCCTTATTTATACCTCTTCATGATTCAATGGAAACTTAACAAGCATGGAAGGCTTCAACCACTTTAGCCACCCTCACAAACTCTCTTTCCACAAAAGCCTCGAAGCTGCACAACTTGTTTGTACCGGCTGCAAATTTCC